GCAATTTGGGGCCATTTCCCATCAAATCACAGATTTAATGTGCAAACCCCATCGTTATTCCTTCATCCCTGACAAAATCCTGCCACCGCTCTGATTTTTACCCCCTCCTTAACCACTGGTGCTTCTGCTCTGATCCTACAGTGCTGTAACCATCATCTGAGCTTATTCCCCACCCCCCCACACCCCCTATTAAAAGGAAAAGCAGGGGAATCCAGGAAAGGGTAAAAGCCTGAATAACTGGAAATTGTTTTGCTCTGGGCAGGCAGTGCTAGGCAGCCCTGCGGGAACAACAGCGCCCTGCAAAATCCTCCACAAAGGAGGTTATTTTCCTGGAAAAATAACAACGGGGACGAATCCGGATGGGGTTTGATCTGGGATAAAAAACGGGATGCTACGACCCCAGGCCCGCTGCAAGCTGGGGGGCTTGCTTTGGTTATGGCGGCGGGTAAACGGCATTTTCCCAGCCTCGCTGGGACCGTAATTATCCCTTATTACAAGAAGTTTAATTAATGTTTTCCCAGCCTGCTGCTGTCTGTCCAAGAAAACTTCACCCCCGTGTAAAGCGCTGCCTCAGGAGCGATTTGAGAGTCACGGGGATGGATGGGGGAAATTAAATCCAAAGGTGTCTGAGCAGAATGGGGGATGTAATGCACAGATGCCTATAGTATATACAGGCTATATATATATATTTATATATATATAAGTACAGATATATTAATATATAATATAGGTATAGACAATATATAATATAGAGATATTATTATATTGCATAAATATAGATATAGTAATATATAATATTTTTATATATTAATATATCATCTATTAATATACAATGCAGATTTATTAATATATAAAATATATATAATCTATATATATATCGCTCAGACTATTTCCAGCCTCTTCCCCGTGTTTCCCATTAAAATGGGACGCGCAGATGCGTTTTCTCCCCTTGGCATGATGCTGGGGGGAAGGACGGAGGTAAATCTTGCGGAGGGGTGTGATGGCCGCCCGCTTTCTCCTCCTGCCTCTGCTCCCCAGGGCCTCCGGCCGACGGATGTCCAAGGCGGTCAGGGATTTTCTTTACGCCCAGAAAGTGCAGGCGCCGGTGGAGATTTACTCGGAGTGGCTGACCGTGGGCCACGTGGATGAATTCCTCACCTTCGTCCCCACTTACGATAGGAAGGTACCGATTCCTGGAGCCACCTCTGCTCCTGCACGGGGCGTCCTCTGCAAATGCAAAAAAAACGCCCTTTTTGCAATTGCTCGTCCTCCCCGCGGGTGCTGGGCGATGCGCCTTCTTTTGGGGTGGCTTCCTGGAAAACGGCGAGTCCCTGGGTGGCATCCCCTGCACCCTGCGATGCTGGCATCCCCTGCACCCTGCAACACCTGGGGCTGGGTTTGGGGTCAGCGTGGTGTCTCTCGGCAGGACGGTGGGATAAGATATCCCACCAACGGCAAAGCCTGAATCCCTGGGCTCTCTCCCGCAGGGTTTCCGGCTCCTCTTGGCCAGCCCCAATGCCTGCTACAAGCTCTTCAAGGAGAAGCAGATGCAGGGCCATGGTGAAGCCACACAGCTCATCGGTAAGGGAGCGGGCGAGGGCATCCCTGTGGCATCTTGGGGACCACCGGCATCCCTTACCGGTGTCCCTTACCGCTCTGCTCCGGTCCCCACGCAGGGCTGAAGGGCACTGAGAGGAGAAGCATTGATGAGATCCTGGCAGATGAGTCGCTGAAGAACGACAACAAGCACGTGCAGGTGGGTCTCTGCACCCGTGGATTTGGGTGGATTCGCCCTCCTCGCTTGTGCATCGCTGCCGGGTGATTTCTGGGTGCAGGGAGTATTTTTACACATCCTGGGGAAGAGCAAGAAACTGTGGCACGAGTCGCACTGAGCAGCGTGAAAGCAGCCGCGGAAGAAGAGCAGCCATGAAGGAGCCAAGCACCCATGAGGGAGCCAGGCACCCTTGGGTGCTGGGTCACCCCAGCCCATGGTCCCACTGGGAGATGACTGTAGAGGTGTCAAAACTGAAGGAAAGAAGTTGCTCGGGTTGCCCATGGGTTCAGGAGGTTGCTCAGAGGGATGGGATGGGATGGGATGCAACGGAGTGGGTGAGGATCTGGGCAGGATGCAACAGGGCACAGAGCGGTCCGTGCGTGGGATTTGGGGGGGCCAGGATGGCCTGGGGTGACAGTTCCAGCTCCCCCCTCTCTGCAGCGCTGCATTGACTGGAACCGCAACCTCCTGAAGCAGGAGCTGGGCCTGAGCGAGCAGGACATCATCGACATCCCCCAGCTCTTCATCCTGAAGGGCTCCCGCGCGGATGCCCTCTTCCCAGACATGGTGAGACCTCCGGCACCTCCTCCCCTTCCACCCCTCTTTTTTTTTTTTCTCCATCCACACCTGATGCAAACACACCTTTTGGGTGGAAAACACTGATTTTTGGTCCGGCCGCAGGTGAACATGCTGGTGCTGGGCAGGCACCTGGGCATCCCCAAGCCCTTCGGACCGCTGGTGGGTGGGCAGTGCTGCCTGGAGGAGCGGGTGCGGGCGCTGCTGGAGCCCCTGGGCCTCACCTGCACCTTCATCGATGACTACTTCTCCTACCACGTCCTCTCTGGTGACGTCCACTGCGGCACCAACGTCCGCCGTAAGCCTTTTGCTTTCAAGTGGTGGCACATGGTGCCCTGAAGCACCCGGGGACAGGCTCGGGTCCCGCAACCGGAGGATGAAGGTGCATTTGGTGCATCAGAAGATGCATCAAAATAAAGGCTTTTGCCAATAAAGCTGCATTAATGCTGAGGGCGCAGCTCTTCGCCATCTCCCATCCTTTCTTCCTCGGCTGTTGGGTTGAAAATATTGTTTGAAACCTTTTTTTTTTTTAAGCACATGGGTTTGTTATGGGAATGGTGGTGTTCTGGGATGGGGACAACTGCGGTGGGTGGAGGATAGACACGGAGCATCTTCGGGAGCGTGGTGCGTACAAGTCAGCAGGCAAGGAGGCTGCTTTGGGGTTTGGAGGCCCCATCCCACTGCTAAAGGGTCTTAGAGTCTCTTATCCCAGGTTTGTAGCTAATAATCCCCCCCCAAATTCCCTATATCAGTCAAAAAACCACTTCCCGCTGGGGAGACCTGCTCTTTGCCTCGGCACGGTGAGGAGGCAGAGCCCCGTCCTCATGCAAATCATTTTACACCTTCCTCAATGAAAAAATGTCCTTTTTCCTTTGAAGCCACCCCAGCTGCTCTTCCTCTCCCTCCTTTCATCGCAAACAAAGCGCGGCACTTCCCTGTGCCGCCCTGGCACCCTGCCCGTCTCTCCTGCCTGCGCTGCCCTCACCCAGCAGGAACTGAAACCAGTCCCCTGCCCTGGGCATCGCTTAGCCCTCTGGAACCCTGGGAGCTATTATGGGGCTCAAACCACTTTTTTGGGGCAATTTGCTTTTCTAGCAATGCTTTTCGAGGTGTAAAAGCATAGCGACGCCTCCAGTGCAGACTGCTGCGACGCCCTGTTTGCAAGCTGGAGAATCAGGCGGAGATGCTCCCACAAAGGGCGATGCATCTTGCTTGGCACTCCCTTTTTTTTTTTTACCAAAAAGATGATTTCTAACCCCAGAAACCCCCTTTTCCCAGCAGTTATGGCTCTGCTGAGTTTCCCCGGCCCCGAGGAGCGATATTAAATTCCAGCGGCGCGTGACCCTGCAGGGAGTTGGTGGGGGGACAGCTGCATCGGCAAAGGGCTCTCCCACGCCGAGGCGAGGATTTAATTAAAACAAAGACGATTAAAGCCGCGGTGGGGTCTGCCGTCCCCACCCCAGGTGACATACTGACCCCCAGGCCCATGCAGCACCCAGGGGATGGGGCGAGCACCCAGCTTGCACCTTCAAACCCCCCTAAAATAAGAATTAAAGCCAATTTTTTCAGCTAAGCAAATAAAACCCTTTGAGAGGAGAAATAAAACCCCTCCGAGCCCGGCGCTGGCACGTCCCCAGCTCGGCTCTGGTGTCACGCTGAATATTTTACGGCGTGGGTTTAAGGGTGGCCGGTCACATCAGCGTCTCTTTGTGCTAAGAGGGGAAAAAAAACCACCCCCGAGCTTCTTAAAAAGAAAAAAAACCCAAACCCTCGTGGGTGTCTCGGGGTGCTTTACCCCCGGCATTGATTCATGCTCCGTCGCCGAGAAGCACGGCCGGGCACCGCGCACACCCAGCCCGGAGGTGGGATTAAGCCGGGCTTTGGTTAATCCCCTCCCAGCAGCCAGGCTTTATAAATCCCCCCGTGCCACCCATCGCAGCACCCAAGGGTGCCCCGGGGCCCGCCGGCATGGCCCAGCAGCGGCGCTGCCAGCTCTG